AGAGCGTAGTTCAGGGTAACAAGCTGCTGTTCTTTCCTCTACACTAGCTAGCTTCTAATTTGCTGACTGGAAATCTTGGTAAAAGCAAGGAAACCTCTGTTTTTTCAGTCACTAATGTGCTGGATCTTCATGCTGTTTTTCAGCATGAGAAAGGAAGGAAAAGTAAATAATTGTGCTGTGTTGCATTTATTTGATGTGTGTGGATTCCACACACTCTCCTCATCAAGCCTGGCGACTTGTCTGGCCTTTCCCGTCTAGTGGAGGAGCTTGGAGAGAAATCAAGGAGCCACTCTTAGTAGCCAGCCCTTTGCAAAAACACAGTAAGAGTTTCTCTCTCATCCTGTGAATATAAACAGCATTTAATAATCTGGTCCTCCTTTGTAGCCAAAGGGAGGATTCCCTTACCGTGTTTAAGTCTAGTGATGAATCGGCCAAGTACACCTGCTTGTTTCTAATAGGAAACCACTTCACCAGAAGCTTTTTAAAGAAAAATCTTTAATCACAGTAGACTATGCTCATTCTGCCTTGGGTTAATTTGAAGCTTAAGAAGAGAATGATAAACTCCTAGAAAACATGTCAGCTAGCTCAAGAGGTGAACTGGAAAACTTGGGAGAGTTTTTTTGATGTGCTGGAGCTCTGCATATTTGATTTCTGGCAGGGGTGACTGTTTTCTAGTAGGTTTTAGATTGTTTGAATTACATGTGTAATGAAGCACTTTGTAAATTATATTCCTCTGGGGGAGACTTGAGCTTGGAAAACATCAGGTGGAAAGTTTAGGTCTATGTCTGAGGTGCTTATTTGGGCTTACTTTTTCCTCAGTGAGAAGTTATGAAACTAATTACTTAATGCGTCAGAAGAGCACTTGGGTGTCTGGCACAGCGAGGTAGAGAAAGTAGACATCCTTCTTCTAAGCATCATGGTCTCTTCTCATCCTTTTGGGGATGTGTTTTTAAAGAGGTTTGCTGGTCTTGGGACTCTTCGGCCACTCTGAGATTAGCTCTAATCCAGGGACTGAGTCCTTGTCCCTCATGTCCTGGTTATTGGTGAGGAACTGACCCTCTTCCCTGACCTGTGCTGGATCCTGTGGAGCTGTACACAATTTCACTGTGAAGTGACGTTAATCTGGCTGTTTAGTGTCCTCTTCTGCCCTGCCTTTCTCCTCTCAAGCAGTCCAGTGTGTGCTGTGGCTTCCCTTCCTAAAAGAGGCTGGCACAAAGCTCTGCAAAGCAGAGCAACCTCATCTCGTTCCAGGCTTTAGCACTGTTTGTATTGATCTGCGGATATCCATCTTGGTTCGCTAATGGGCGTCAAGTAGAAAAAGTAATACATTTCTACTGCATTTGAATTCATCTCTCACTTGGTTCTTTTGGACCAGCTCCAGGATCTTGTTAAGAACAGAAGACACTGATCATCTTAAAGAATGGGAGGGGAATCTGCCCATTCAGGCACAGTGACTTGTATCTCTTCCCCATGAGCTAAGCAGTAAAGCCCACACAGGAGGGGGGAGGGAAGAGTTGAAAGAGTGAGACAATGGAATTAGTTGTTTAAGATGCCTTGAGCACCGGAGAATTACTGCAGAAAGTAGAGTGTAACATCCAGAAGAATTCCTTGTGCTTCATCAACAGATGGGGAGCATGTAGGAGACCCAGGTTCTTCCAGCACCTAAGGATGCTTTTTATGCTCTCCAGCAACTAAGCCCCAGATCCACCTTAACGCAGCTCCTTCCTGGGTGCTTAGGGCAAATCTAGGTTTCAGACCCAGCTGCTCCCGAGATCTTGTGTCAGCCCTTGCCATGGTTTGAGGTGCTGTTTTGCCAATTGGTTCTGGGGCCTTCTAATTTGCAGAAGACACCTGTTCCTTAATTATCACCGTCCCTTGTCTGTCTCTCTTTGTTTCAGCTTTCTGATGCATGAACTATTAACAGGGTTGGAAGGGAGGCTGTGCTGAGCAGTGTGTGTGTGTTGGGAGAGGAGGTTGAAAGAAATGAGTCACAAACTCGAGAACAGTTTCCACGAAGAGAGTTGGTGTCTGCTTTGGTTTGCTCTGGGTACTTGACTCTGTAGTCTAGTTTGAGTCCTTTGGGACTAGTTTGTGTGCTATCCTAGGATGGAGTGGCAGTCTGTAGAGGGCAGGAGAGGGTGGCAGGACAGTGGAGTTAAGCTCCTGATTAGAAGAAAGTGACAAAAGAACTGTAACTGGCTGTTTTGCTTCTGTGTTAAAACTGTGTCTTCACTGCTAAGGCTGTTCTGGCTCTCAGTCTTGCCAGTTATGCCTGCGTTGTTGTATTCTGTGTGATTTCAGGGTTTCCTTGAAGGATCTTCAGTTGCTTTGCAAATCTGAATTCTGTGCATGCTTTCTCTTCCCCCCCCCCTTTTTTTTTTTTTTTTCTGCAAGGAGAAAAAACAAGACTCGGTGTAAAAGATGGCCTCAGATCAGAATAAGTCTTCACCGAGTGACGTGTGAAACCAAAGGTTCTCTCCTCTGGTCCCCTTCTGGGTTTACTTTGGTCGTCTGAGAATACTTGTGATGCGAGGCGTTTCCAATTTGCCTTGCAGATATTCTGAAACTGTCTCAAATAAGGTTTCTTGGGGTTGTACTAGTCTTAAAATAGCTTGGATTCTGTTCTGTCACCGACTCTGTTGGGGTCGACAGAGACCTTGAGGCTCCGCAGCCTGCCCTTTTGAGTCCCAGTTCTTCCCTTCTGGTGACACCTTTTTCGAACTGCTTTAAGAAGTCATGGAAAAGAGCAACGTCTAAATATTAATGTTGAATATTTGTCTTTAAAAATCCCTTTGGGATGCTCAACAAATGTGTACCATGTGTGCTGTGGCTTTCTAGATATTGCCTGCTTACAGCTTTTGGACCTGTTAGTCTATCGCTAGCCTGGGCCATCCCATGGATGACAGGCAGCGCTCTTTTGTAATGCTCGTTTTGTGTCCCTGTCACAAGTAGCTTCTCTCTGTTCACATTCAGACCTTAGTCAAAGTCTGTTGTCTTCCTGCAGTAAAGTCTTTTCTCTTCTGTCTGCAGTAGGTAGGGCTTGAGTGCTGCTCGGTGCCCTGGCAGAGGTGAGGGTGCTGCCCAGGGCGCTGCTCCCCGGTGTGGGCTGGCAGCATGGATGACTTGTGCGCCCTAGGAGAAACTCGCGCGGGAAGCTGTGTAATCCTAATTTCCAGCTGCTTTGGATATATTTTGCAACCCATCTGAAAGAAATGCGACAGACTGGTACTGCAGGATACCTCAGTTTAATTTGCTGAGAAGCGCTATCTCAATATACACGTAAGAGGGCAGTGAAGAAAGATCTTCATTGACAGTACCTTTAATTTCCACACTGAATGAAGTTCTGTCTTATGAGTGTCTCTATTTTTTTTTTCCCCTCACTTTGCACAAGTTTTCAGCTTCCAAGTCAACAGCTTAACTGTTATGCTATAGCTTCCTGCTGTAAAACAAGCAACTTAAAGCGTGGGAAAAACTGTTCTGGGCAGACCTGGCTCCGTTGCTGTTGAGCCTGGGACACCCCGAAGCTACCCTGTCAATGTTAATGCGAGCAGACTGGTCACGGCTATTGCTATTCAGACCTAAACTGAGCGAGTACCCGGACAAAGAGGCCACAGTTTAATATTTAACGTTCCATAAAGCTGCACTGAGAGCTCTTACTGAAATGTGTCAGTAAAGGAGTGCTGTAGCAGCGATAGCAAGCAGCTGAGAGCCAAGAGGATCCTGTGCTCTACTTCTGCCCGAGGCATGTTCTCTGATACCAAGCAGCTTGCTTGACCTGTTGTGTCTCAGCCAACTTAGCTGTAAAATTAAGCAACAAAGCAAGCTCCATGACAAACAGACATGTCTGGAGGTGAACTTCCAAGGCGAGCTTTGCTTCACTGATAAATTCATCTTAGTAGCAGAATTTCTGGTTTTTAACCTAATATGTGTGTTTTATTGTCCTTCCAGGCAGCATTCACTCTCCTCCTGGGTCCTTTCACCTTCTTCAATGTGCAGAAGACCAAGTATCTTCAAATCATGACGTCCCTTATGAGGTGGATAGGTGAGTCTGTGCAGAGTCTTGGCCGCCTCTTTACCATAGATGGAACCTGAGTCATGCTACCGATGCATCTCTTTGGCAAGATATTCTTGTTCGGAAGCAAGGGCTTGTCAAAACAACCTCTTTGAGGAGGATTGTCCAGGCCCGATAAATCTTTGAGGAAAAGGATTTTTTTTGTTCTAGGATGATATTTCTGATTAAAACAAAACAAATTGTTCTCAATCGGATGTGAGCTGGTAGATGAAGTTTTAATCTGGTTTGTGTGAGAGGCAGAAGGGATTTGGAAGAGTCTCCTGGAGGGAGGGCTGACCGTGATACCCACCAGTTGCTGTTCAGCAGTAAGTTTCTCATTCTCTCAGCACGTGTACAACAGACTTTGAACAGTCTTGGTTTTGATCTGAGAACAAAAGGCACTTCTGTCAGACTTTCTCCCCTTAGTTTTATCATCTGTTTGCATTTTTTTTTTTTGCTGGGCCTTGCTTTCCAAGGTGCTCTGCATTGGAAACCCCCAACCCAATGTGTGTTGTCCTTGGGAAGCCTCACTCTTGTGAGTTCTCTCCAAAATTTAATTGCCAAGAACTTCTGCCAAGATAATTCCCTTAAGGGAAATAAGACATAGCTACTTTTTTTTTTTTTTCAGTGCCTTTGTCATCCAAAGATGCAGCTGACTTGTGTCTGGCTTGTATGTGCACATGCCCTTAGAGGCTGAGGGGGAGGTGTGTGTTATGGAGGCTTATGTTGAGGTCTGTCTTGTTTTGTGTAACCTAGGCAGAGTAACTGATATTCAGGGCTAAAGGAGACAGTGTTACAGCACCAGCAGCTCTTCTCCAGGTTAACAGTCTCCACCTATCACTGACCTGGAATAGGAAGAAAAGCTGCTTCTCAGACTATTTCCCACTGCACACGTACACTTGACCTGACTTCAGTTGAGTATCGTCCCTTTTCTGCGAGTTCAAAGGCCTGTGATCCTGTTTGGAAGTGGCTGGCAGTCCCTGCAGAGGAATAGAGATCCCTCTAGAGAACATCTGAGATGGGGTTAAGCAGTTGTCACCCAGGAAAATGAGGCTGGACTCCAAGCCCTCAAGTCTCAGATGCTGAATAGCTTGAGTTAACAAATCCTGACCTTGGATGGTGTGAAAATCCTGAATGTCTGTTTTTCCTTTTTGTTGTCTGAGCACATGACAGGTTTGAAAGCCCCCATGTTCTTCAGAGAAAGAGGTTATCTCATTAAGGGGTATTAAAGGAAGTTTTGGGGTTGGGTTTTTTTTTAAATTAAAAAAAAAGCATAATCCCTGCTCAGCTCACTGGCCTGTTTCCAATCACCCGGCCTCCTCTTTCCTGGTGAAGACATCAGTCAGACCTCATCCTGTCTCTGTGACAACCTGACACCTGACTGATCTGCCTGGTTTCTCTTTAGCTGGCTCCTTCCAGTATGAGGATTGTGAAACCGTGGCAGAAAGGCAGAACTGTTTCTCTTTTTTCATTCCTTGATGGAGAGGGACAAAGGCAGTGTTTGGAGAAGTGTAGGGGAAATTCATGCTTTAGCGTGATTGATTCCTGCATCAGCACGCTGGGGAACAGCTGCCCCAGATAATGATATTTAATGACCCTGACAGCATCTCACTGGCTACTTAGAGCAACGGATTCCGTATGTGCACAATGAGGGATAGATTTATTAGGAAAGACAATTTATCAAATAGCCATGTGATGCAGGGAACAGAGAAAAGCTCTTGCTGTAGATTCTGGGGTAAGGATGGATCTTGTACTGCCAAGATTTATCAAGCTGGCTTATCCTATGTCCTCACATCACTGCTGTCCTCTCCTCCAAAAGCAGGGCTGCGAGTTAAACATGTGTTAGTCTTTTGTTGGCGCTTAGATGCTAAAGAACGGTCTTGGCTGGTGCTTTGTGGTCTCCTGAACTTTTCCTGCCTGAATGCCAGTGGCCAGATATAGACTCTCTGTCCTGCCGTAATCTGTGCCTTTTCTTCACGTTCCTTTAGTTGCTTTTAGCCGTGTTGTGCTGAAGGTGGTTCTCCTGCAAAGTGCTGAGTGGCAGAGGTGAACGCTGGAGCTGCCACCCTACCCGTGTGTTGTGCTGGGTAAAAACTTCCCGCACGGACAGCGGCTTATTCAGCTTACCTGTGCCCGCTGGCCTGGCCTTGATGGGAAGCTGACCCATGCTTTGCGTCATGATAGGAAAAAATCAGTCCTACTTGAGCTGGGAGGTCAGTACAGGCTTTGCAACATGCCTACTGCAGGACCCTTTTCCCCAGCCTGGTGAAAAGCCCCTGGATTTCAGAGCAGCGGTGGCTGATGTAAAAGCTGCACTGCCCCAGGTGTACTGGCGATTCAGATGACAGTGGCTGAGAGGATGGTTCTTGGCAGCAGGGAGAGCTAGCTGTGTGTGAAGGTCATCGCTGCTGCTGTTTGTAACAGTGTCAGCCTTGCCTTTGAAAGTTGCTTTCCCTCTTTCTCCTGATCCAAGTGATAATCAAATGTCACTAGGCTCTTTCCAGAGCCTCGTGCTCATCGCAAGCAGCACATCAGCTAACAGCCTACAGCGGTCTGTTTTCACACCTCGTGGACAAGAAGAATTTCGTTTTGTCTCTGAAAAACAGTCTTAAACACTGGGCCTGAACTGGAAATTAAAAATGGGCCAGTTCAAAGAACGTGGAGGTGGGGCAGGGATCAGCACTTCATCTGGTTGTGTTTTTCCTCCCAGGGTAAGGGACTAGCCAGGACTGGCACCTCTGAAGTCTCTAAAAGGAGAAAGTTGGAGGAGGAGCTTGCAAGCTCAAGTGCCATACTGCTAGCGAGCCCAGACAGATGGGCTCTCGTTGTCTGGGGCTGCTGAACACAGAGAGCTCATCTGGAAACAAGGCTGGCATGGTGAGGCATTTCCCTGTCAGGACTGATAGCAGCACAGGGGGTGGATCTGTGTCTCCAGGAGGAGTGGGGCTGATGGCAGAGAGAGGGCTTCCAGAGGCATCGAGCTGTTGGCAGTCTTCTGAAGAGTAACAGCTTACACACTTGGCGGCAAAACTGGTTGCTGCCTCGCGTGAGTGAGTGCCAATGGTTAAATTCAGTGCAGCAGGCGGTGTTTGAACTGCTGGCCTTGTCTGTGCTTGAGATCTCTGCTCGCTCTGAGCTGGGATGTGTAAGGGTTTGCCTACACAAGCTCTCATCCCTTTTCCAACTGTAAAAGGTCCTCGGGATGCTTTGTCGGCCCTCTCCTGCTCGTGCCTGAACTGCCTTGGGAGACTGAGCACAGGCACCCTAAGGGGCGTGATAAGGGTGCCTGTCTGCTGTGCTTCCCTGGAGAAAGGGTTAGTTGGGAAAAATCCCTTGGTTTAAATCCTGGTAGTGGTGCTTATGGTGAAGCCTTGATTTGAGTTACAGATAAAGCACTGTTGGCTCACCCAGCTCTTGAGCAAAGCTATTAAGAGCAGAGACAGGGCCCAGACTGGTTGACCAGGTAAGTACAAATCATCCCCTTGGGGTGAGGAGGGTTCCTTCCCCAAACTGCAATTCCTTCCTTTCGGCTCCCTTCCACCTCAGCCTTGCAAAAGCGTAGAGCTGTTATTAGCCCAAGTTCTTTACCAGTTTTGGAGCCTGTTTCCAGGTCTCTTACAAGGTTCCTGGAACAGGGTGTCTCCTGCAGAAGGCTAAACCAACTACGCCATCAATAAATTAGAGCTGTTGGTATTTTCACTTCTGCTGTTCGGCCTTCAGGCTCTCTTTTCCTGGAGGGTTTAAATCTGTGGTGGTGATGGATTGTTCCCTAAAGAGACTTGAATATCTAGCTGGGGTTTTTTTTCCCCCTCCTTTCTCCAATCTTGATCAAGTGGATGGTGTTAGGGATGAGCTGCTGGAGGGCGTGGCACAGCAAAAGGGACTGAGCCAGGCAAGCCCGATGCACTTCTGAAAGCAGAGGGACACAGCTCGCTGGGGCACAGCCCTACCTCTTTATTATTGGATAATATTGGATAATAACTGACTAGCAGCGTCATGGGGAAGGATATGGATTAGGAAAGATAACAAAAGGACAGGGCTTGGTGGAGCTCAGCAGCAAACATTGGGCTATTGTGTATTAAGCAGCTAACCCGATTAATTGCAGCCTGTTACAGCCTGAGATGCCCAGCTCTATAGGTGAGGACTGTTGGCTTTAAAGACATTGGTAGCATGATTATCGCTGCTGTTATTGAATAGTCTCTGCCAAATGTTCCCAGACAGCTCCCACATGGGACATTTGCTCTATGTGCTACTCTTGATGCTGTATTGTAGTTATTAGAAAGTATTGTATTTTAATAAAGACATTTTATAGAGGAATAAACTTCTGGGTTTTGTTGCTACGGGCTCAGTTCTCTCTCCCTGTAGCACAGTCAGATCGTACCACATCTATCCAAGTAACTGCAGCCCTCGAGACAGAGCATTCCCAACCCTGCCCAAACCGTGATCTCACAATTATATGCCCAGAAATAAAATCTCTCCCCTAGCTCTTTCCCCTGGCCAGTAAGATGGAGGGGAAAAAGGACAAGAGTAGCCAGGAAGCCTGTGTTAAGCTCTTTTTTATTTTTTCTTGCTCTAGTAACTGTCGCTGCCATCCTTAGCAGACTTAACCAGCCATGCTGGAGTTGATCCAGTACAGAAACCTGGAGTCACTCTGCTACGTCCTTTCAGCTCCAGAGACAGAATTATAGAGGAGGCTGATATAGGAGGTGTTGACAATTATGACAAAGTCCCGTGTTTCCAGTCTCCTGCAGAGAGGTTAACCTGTCAGCACCCACAGTCCTCAAGGCGGCCTCTTTTCCACGTCAGAAATGGAGCTTTCTGCAAACAGCTTAAGGAGGGACCAGTTTGATCTCTACCCCTTTCCTTTCACAGAGCAGGGCACAGTGGAGTGGCAAGGAAGGAGGAATTGGACTGTAAATCAGGACACTGTTGCATGTTTGTTCTGACAAGCTTCTTCAACAAAGTTACTTCATGTTCTCGCATCCCTTTTG